AATTGGAAATTTATCCTAAGCAATCTAACAATAAGTACAACAATATTATGGAAGTTGAACACTCACATTTTTAAAGGTTGATGTTTTCATGTAAGATCCAGGATTATCAACACTGGCAGCTGCCCAGTTGCCCTGAAGGTTGCCCTGCTGTTTATTGGTAATGCCATGTAAACCAACTCTTGATGGCAGGACAAGAGTAAGATATTTGGGAATGTTTTCCCTTAACAATTTCTTCTTTTCATACAGCTGATAATAATTTATTCTAGTCAGGTGGATGACAATCTTTATCATATTGATATAGGAGAAATGTAACTTTCAACCTGTTAGCTGCCAGATATGTTGAGTTTGTGTCCCCTGAAATCGAAGAATGTACACAGGACAGCAGGGTTTAAGAGCAGAAAAGGTTTATTGAGAGATAGCTCCTGAGAGACAGGAGGGGTCCCGATTGGGTGGCCACTGAAGTCCTCTGTCAGGGGTAATTTATAAAGCAAAGTCACAATGTGGGTACAGCAAGGGTCAGACTACAATCCACTATAGGATTTTACAAGTATAGCTGTTTAGCTAGTATTGATCCAATAGGCAACTGAGTGATCGCTTTAGCAGCACATATACCAACAAGGAAACGAGTCATGTAGCACAGGCGCATGGAAAAAACAGAGGCATTTTGGGGAAGGGAAGGGACCAGGTGCTCTGGTCACCCACCCACCGGGGTGACTGATGCCTATCTGGACTTCCTGGACCAGGTGGTGCTAATCATAATGTAACCTGAAGTTACTGCTTATCCCTGAGGGAAGCATGTAGGCCTGGTCATTTCATCTTCATCTTGAGGCCTGCCTTTCTTCAGATGTGCCTCTAGCCGCGATTCTGATGTCTTTATTTTTTACTGACTTCCTAGAAAGCCCAGTCCCTCTCTGACTGTATATTAATTTCTGTCTAAATTAGCTGCCTATCATAACATGATTTGGAAGTTTTTCTTCTTTGTGAAGAGGTAACAGCATTGACATTTTCCTCATTCTGCTTTGGTGAGCACCTGTGAATTTTTTTTAAAGTCTTATAGGTTAAATAAAATAAAATAACTCAGTGCAGCTATCAAAGGTCATGTTTACCACAAGTACCAGCTATATCAAACAAGTATAGAAAAATTACCCCTTTGGTACAATATAATTTATCATTCTGTGTTGTAAAGGTATCTAATTTTATTACATATTTGTTGAGTAAAATTTGTGTTTTCCCTAATATTACTTAAATAATGTACTATTAGTATTTATATTGTCAAACTTATTTTAATATTAAAAACTGTCTACTCATTATAATATTCAAAAAATTTTGTATTTTATGCCCAATTAACAGCTTTAACAGTCATTACTCACAGAAGTATTTGTAAAAATATATGTATAATATACTTGTTCTTCAACTAACTGATACAATCTTAACAGAAAACACAAAAGGAGACTTCTCCAGGAGTTATAGCTAGAATGCCTACCTGTGTTCAGAAAAGCACATTCTCCAGTGACTATCAACCTGAATGACACCCCGTTGATATATTTGCTATTGTGCGTAGCTGTGGCATTCAGAGATGCCAAGATTTACACCGCAGGAAACATTCAGCTTTTAGCCCTCTACACAATGAATCCGAAGGGCAAATTATGGTCAAATACTGAGACTGTTAGTGCATGTCCAGTATTATATGACTTGAGGGGAGTTGCTCCGTTATGAAATTTAGTGTGATGCTTTTCCTAAGACACATGAGCGGGATCCTTCAGGCAGGCCTAGCCTGGGTATGTGAGTCACAGGTGGCAATGAGTTGAAATCCATCAGTTGTGACATGTCATCAGAGACTCACTAGGCCCTGTTCAACATCTTAGAAATGCACAGTAATTGCTTGGATTATTGCTGAACAGATTCTGGGTAAAAAGTCAGATCCCATGTTACAAAAACTTTCTTTATTTTGGTAAAAATAAAAATGATGGCATTAGCCAAGATTCAGGGTAGACATGGTCCAAACTATTTCAGTCATCCTGTGTTTTGATAGCAAAATGTCAGTTTTCATGTGAATGGCCAGTTGCTTTTCTTCCTTCGGTGTTAGGCAGGACATTAGAAATACCATCTCTTCCAGTCATTCCAAGAACCCATATTACTGATAAAAGATGAAAATTGCATAATAAGCTTTACAACTATTTTAGAATACTCTCCATGCAAATTCTCCAATTTGGAATAAGGCAGCCCTGGAAGGTAGACAAGAAAAGTTGCAAGGCTGTACAAAGCAAGGCTGGTGTGAAAGAGAAAATATCTCCAGCCCAGCCTCTGCTAATTAGCTCTCAAGGGCTGCCACCTCCTGGAGGAGTAGGCTCGATCCTGTCTTGGTACTATATTTTCCAATTGCAGTGAAGAGACACAGGGTATAAACTAGATCTAGCAAGTGGCATGATAAAAGAAACAGTCGTACAGCAAAATATCTGAGCCCTCCCTTTTGGGGGACCTGGAGCACTGATCAATCAGCCCAGTGGCCAGTAATGGAATTTTAGGTCCCATGAGGCAGGAGCTACAGCAGGGAATCTTGATCTCCAGAGAGCCAGGGATCTCATTATTAGGTGCCATACAGGGACTTGAGTGGCCATAAATAGCAGTGTGCTCAGGGACTCAGGAAGAACTGAATTATGCCTTGCCAAATACAAACCCCCTTCCCTGCCATCACTGTTTCCTAACTTAAAGACTCAAGGTCAGGAAATGACCTCAGCCAGAGCCTGGGCTTTCAGTTCTGTGAGCTCCATGCCTCCAGGGATGCTGTACTTCTAGTGAGCACCCACTCCCTGCCCTTCCTAGACTTCGTCATTACTCAGCACTATTCTGTGTGTATGCCATTTTGTGACCATGAATTTTAGCCTTGTCAGTTTGTTCATTCCTCACTGTTTGTTCTTTTGCCACTGAACAGCTTTTCTTCAACATGACTATTCATCAGCCTCTCTTTTCATTCTTTCCTTCCTTACCAACTGAGGCAGTAGTGTACCATTTCAATTTTTATCAGCTTACTAAATGTCTCTGTTTGCTTATCTTTTCTGAAATACTCTCTGACAAAATGCAGCCCTGAGTGAGTGAATCAGCAACTGCTGTTGAATGCCAGCAGAGCTCTGGAAAGAAAGCATAAAATTAGGCAGCAGGTACCATGCCACATTTATGCTTGCCATCCCACCTGGGCATTCAAAATGTCAGAAATCTATTTAATCAGGTTGCTCTTACACTTGCTACAGCATTTCCAAGGCTTTTCTTCATTTCTTAAAATGCAAACTTTCCTACTTTTTCCCTACCTTTAAGATGCCCTTCCCTCCTACATCCAGGGGATTAGACAGCCAAAGAGTACCCACACTTGTGAAGGTTAATCCTGACAGTCTGGTTGATTGCCTTGAGATTACTAAATAAGACACTAGTAAAGTACACCTAATTTATTTATAAATTTACACCTAATTTATATACTAGTGTATTTATTACACTAAATACACTAGTAAAGTATACCTCTGCGTTCGCCTTGGTGGGTCATGGAAGTGTGACCTTGGGGACTATATTGGTTCCTGGCTCCTTCCTCTCTGGTTCTTACTCAAGAGATACCAAAGAGACATGTCTGAAGTCTCCTTGGGAAATCAAAAGGCTGATAGAGAGGCAGGAAGGGCAACCTTATGGCCGCTCAGGACCTTCATGAGGGACCATTAATACCAGTCTAGAAGATGAACTGGCCCTTCTTCCAGAGACACAGTGACAAGCTGGACAAATTTTTACAGGATTACTAGTGGTTCCCACCCAATAGACCTGCAAAACTTGCTGATCTCTGGTTACAATAACCCTGGCAAGCTCATACCACCTCCTTTGTTAAAGGAAAGCAGCCTCTATGAACACTAGAAGGTGTGGGGCTCCTCTTCCAAAAAGCATTACTCTAGTTTTGCTTCAGTTACAGATAAATAGTAATGAGTTCTAATCCACCACAGCTGAAATGATCCCCTATATTGGGACTTCTGTCTATGATAGGAGTAATTTTGCTAGGGGTATGGTACTTAGGCTCTTGGCAATATATTGAATATCTCTCTTCACAATGCTTTCTCCTCTACAAGAAGCATAGAAGTAAAGCTTAGTATCTCTATGCTGGGTTTATCACAGTCCACCTTTTAAAACAAACCAAGAAATATTCTGCTGTGCTCCTTCTTATATTTGGGTTCTGCATCCACAATCTAAGGGTAAAGTTTATCTGTTCAAGACTTCAGATGGTGATCTGAACAGCCATGACTCTCCTGACAAGCTCACCAAGCTTTCTCAGCTCAACAATTCACCAACTCTTTACTCGTCTTCCGGCAGATTTCTTTTCTTACTTTTAACCCAGTCACAACATCCCAAGGACACTAGAGAGCTCGGAATCCCTAGTAGGTATGGCTTACAGCCCCTTTTAGCTGGAAAAAGCCATATGAAGACAGAGACCACCACACCATCAGCAGCCCATAAAGAATTTCAAGAATTTTTGTCTCTCAGGGGGAAACAAGGAAATTAGAGCATGGCAAAGTTGAGTGTGACCTATCAATCACAGAAGTCTGTCAATCACAGAAATTCAGGACACACATTCAGTGTCCTGAATGCACATGGTGCCAGTCAGAGAATGCTGTCTTTGATTTTTCTGGCACGAGATCAGGCAGGCTTTTGATAGGATGGCCTACATCTGATGTCAGGACTGGGGTATAAAAGGCGGTGGCCATTAACCTCATGACTACTGTGAGGATTCTCACCAGCCCAGCCTGAACTCTTCAGGGTGTGCTTTGTTTAGTATAATGAGCTCATACTCACTTTGCAGAGCTCTTCTTTTTCAGAACACTTCTTTTCCCTTCTCTTTCCACCTTTAATCCCTTTCATAAATGTAAAATTTCACTACATTTTTGCTTCTCTTGTCAAGTTCACTGAACAGGACAAGATCCTGGAAGGTACTGCTGGGCACCCGAGTACCCTATTAACACTGGGAAAAATTATTTTTACCAGCAATTATTTATTTCAGGTAACCTACCAAATCCAGAAGTATAAAAATTTAAGCAGAATATTACTTATATAAATTATTAATAATTTCTCATTCCAGGGTCACTATGCATATTAGCAAGTTCTACCAAAGTTATGTATTACAATAAATGATGATGCCTAAATGGAGTTGGTAAATTGAGATTTTCTCTCAACTATGTAGAAAGGCAAATCTTTGCTTCTTCTTCTTGGGAAAAGAGGTGTAGCATATTTAAATGATTTTCCCCTTGTCTCTCTCTTGCTCCAGTTTTTCAATCTCCAGAGAAAGTTTATGTAACTCCAGCGCCATTTTTGAGTCCCTGGGACTTGGGAGACACTGTAAGAGGTTTTTGCCTGCTTGGACAATATTACGATCTTCAGGAACTTGCTGAAAAAGAAAATCAAAATGATGATTTTAGAAAGCCTTCCCATTCCCTGTAAAGGGTTAAGCATCTCTTGGGATGCCATGTGACACGAGGACTGTTGGAAGGTGAGGGATGGCCCAAGGATAAATGGGTAGTCATTACAAAGGTTTTTCCTGAGGAGTGAATCCATATCTGTATGTAGGTATTAATAGGATCAGATCAAGCAGAGAGGGGAGTCTAAACTTACGAGAATGCCAAATGTGTGAGAGAACAACCGCTCTGTCAGTTCTACGCACTGATCAGAACTGAAACAAAAGCTAACCAGGTATTAGCGCCAGGCCAAGAGATCTTGTTAATAAGATCTGCTGCCCACCTGGGCTGGCCAGCTCTAAAACAATGAAGTACAGTAAGAACAGCTCCTATAAACACTATGTGTATTGGCTCAAATGACTGAGATGATCCTTCAGGACTATTACTTTTCTCATTTTATAAACCATCTGATCTGTAATTTGTCCTAAGGTATCATCATGATTTAGATCTACAATTTTCCTCGGTATCCTCGTGTGATTGGGTCATGGCAGGAGTTACATTCGTCAGTGGATTCATCCATTGGTGAGTTCATAGTGGAATGTTCCCTTGGGAGCCGGGACCTGATCAGAGGGGGGTCGCTGGGGGCATGTTCTGGGCTCTTCCTCTCTCCCTCTGCTTCCTGGCTCTGTGGTTGCTACACCTTTTCCTCTGCAATGTCCCTCCGCCATCCTGTTTCTACATGGGAGCCAGCCAACCAGAGACTGAAACTGTGAACCAAAATACACTTCTCCTCCTTTAAACTGCAGGTGTCTAGTATTTTGTCCCCAAATGAAAAGTGTCTAAGACAAGTGTTGTATGACATAAAACTCATTGACGATTATTGACCTTTTCACAGCTGGGCACAGCTGGGCTCCAAGACTTGTTCTCTGAGCAGGAGATCCTCTGGGAACCAACCATCCTATATCCAGGGTCACACCGGACGGTGATAGTTTCAGGACTGATATACTGCTCCTTGTCCACAGACAGCTTTCCATTTGGTAACTTTGGCTTTAGGCACAGAGCTGTAATTAGAACACTTTACCTTACCATCTTGATTATCTCAAAGAAAGGACATTTTGACACTGATAAGAAAAGGAATAAGGAGTATTGTTGAAGCCTACTTTCCTTTTCACACTACTGCTACCACCATAGTGCTATCACCACTAGCCCACTGTCAGTATCACCACTAGTTAGTATTTGCTGGCACTTGCTACGCAGCAGCTTATGTGCTGAGCATGCGCAGACACTGTTTCATGTAAGCCTCAGCAACCCCTTGAGGAAGATATAGACAAGCTGATTAGAGAGATGAGGAAACTGAGGCATGGAGAAGCTAGATCCCTCATGCCAAGTCACACACAGTACTTCTGCTAGGCAGATCCAGAGTGTGAACTAATTACAGAGTCTGATCTCCTTACTTACATACAGGACTTCTGCCTTGGTTTTGTCCTGTATAGAACAAAAGCAGTGCCAGCAGTTTAGGTCCTGGAATTGCTGGGCGTGAAAAGATATAAATAACATTCTTACATACATTTTGCATAGTCTGCCTCAATAGCTGAGTGACCAATAGAGAAGTCAACTTTCTTCTGAAAGGTGCTGGGGTACATAAGACCCCACAGGTGCTGTTTCTTGGGTATTGGGAATTACACCATGGCCAACTGTGGCTCAAGCATGGACCAGGGAAACTCTGCTCCAGCAGGGTGGACCCTTCCTCCAAGTCATGTCTGAGCCACTCTGCAGAACTACTGTCCCTGGGAGCCTGGGTTACCTTGACACTGAGGAGCTGGTGATGACCATCCCAGAAACCTGCAGGAGATTATGGCTGCTCCGACCAGAGCATATCCTTCGTTGCACTCATACTGCACCTCGGTAGTGAGCGCCAGGTATCCGGTAAGGTATGTGTAGTGCCCGTGTGGAATCACAGGGGGGGAACCACAACCTTGGAAACAGAAAGGGAGAATTTTGTTTTGTGATAGTGGGGATTGGCCCCGGGGCCTTCACGCTGAGTTGTATCCCCAGCCTTTTAAAATTTTTTATCATTAGACAGGGTCTCATTGAGTTGCTCAATTGTCCGTCCAGGTTGGACTCAAACTTTTGATCCTCTCACCTCAGCCTCCTAGGGTGCTGGGATTATAGGCTGGAGTCACCAATCTAGCTGAGAATTTTTTCTGACTCATTACTAAGGAATTAGCTTTCGGTCACTGTAATGACCACAAATGCCTGAGGCAATTAACTTAGAAAGGGAGCGGCTTATTGTGGCCCACAGTTTCTGAAGTTCCAGTTCATGATCAGATGGAGTCATTGCCGTCCGGCCCATAGGGGGCAGCACATCAGCGGCAGTGCATGGTGTGGCAAAATCACTCACACTATGGCCCAGAAGCGAAAGAGTGAGGAGAGAGCCCAGGAGTCCTGCTGACAGGAAGACTTCCCTCTGAGGCCCACTCTTCAGTATCTAGCACCTCCCAGCAGGGACCAAGGCTCTCACACACGGACCTGTGAGGACATTCAAGGGTCCTAGTGTGAGGAGATTTACTAGGTGATGTGTCTTCTTCCCCATCACTCTCATTACTCGTGAAATAACACAGCATAATTCACAAAGGGCAGCCTCTCATGTGGCCACGTGAAAGAAGGAACAGGGTTTGTATGCATGTATTTGGAGAAGCTACAATTGACTGCTTACTTTGTGTAGAACTATTTTTTCAATACTTTTAAAATTTAACAAAATGTGTGTGTGTGTGTGTGTGTGTGTGTTATGGTATGTCAGGCAATGCTTTAAGCACCGAACAAAAATTCATGTAATCCCAACAATCCCACAAAGTAAGCTTTATTATTATTATTATTCTCATTTTACAGATAGAAATGCAGAGGAAGTGCAGAGAGGTGAAGCAGCTTGCCCAAGGTCAGACAGTGTGTGAGAAGAATCAGTGTAGTTTGCTGGACAGCGTCCATGCCCTGAACAGCATGCCTCAGTTAAGAGGATGTGATACTTGTGGGCCGAGGATGACCTTTCAATATTAAGCTTAATATTGGTAAAAGAGGAGTCCTCTACTCAAGAAACATGTGATATGGAGGAGTTGCCCTGCAAGAACTCGTAAGGGCTGTGCAAGCCCAGAACACCCAAATACTTTCTCCCACTAACCCCAGGAATGGCACTGGTTTTTAAATCTCTTATAGAAGAGAATCATGCAGAAATTTTGTCTTAAATGCTTGAGTAATAGAAATTGCTTACCAACTGCAAAAATAAAATTTTGTATTTGTATAACATTTTAAGGCTTACAAAGAACTTTCATGCACATTTCTTATGACTTTAATTCTAGTTGATTTTCTCAGAATTTGAGGCAATAATCATTTTATATTTCCTTTACAGACAGTAAAAGGTGACAGCAAATTAGTAAATGTATAGCAGGAAATAAATAACTCCCTTAAAAGCAAAGGAATTTTAAGCATTTTCATATTTAGATGTGATGAAGTTCTTTAAAATTATTCTTGTGGGAATGCAGACTGATGAAATCACTGTGGAAATCAGTTTGGAGATTCCTCAGCAAACTAGGTCTAGAGGTCCCAGTCAACCCAGCTATTCCCTTTCTGGGTATTTTCCCAGAAGATCTGAAAACATCATATCACAGGGATATATGTGCACCCATGTTCATAGCAGTGCAATTTGCCATAGCCAAATCATGGAAGCAACCCAAATGTCCATCCACTGAGGAATGGATAAAAAAATTGTGATATTTTTATATAATGGAATATTACTCAGCTATAAAGAAAGATAAGCTCAAGGCTTTCACAAGCAAATGGTCACAACTAGAGACCATACTCATAAGTGAAATAAATCAGACCTGCATGTGTAAGCAATGTATTGTCTCACTAGTATAAGAACCTGAAAGAATAAATAAAAATTAGGAGGTACGATAGACACTGTGAAATGAAAAGAAACTGCTCAAAAATAAAGAGAAACTGGGATGAGGGAAAAAAGAAAAGAAAGAAGGGGAAATTATGTATGTATGTATACACAGGATAGCTAACATACTTGTACTACTGACTTCTACACTTTACTGAAAGGAGCAGTTAATTATTAATTTTTTGATCAATCTTGCATGTATCTATTTGTTTTCCTGAGAAACCACTTTGAAGATATCAATACGTAATACAACAACCATTGTTAATTTCCTACCACTTTGTCTGCAACTCTGTATTGCTGGTATTGTTCTTATGCTATTTTGTAAATGGATGTGTGTTTGTTAATATGTTTTCCTTCTCTTATTTTTAAAATAAATTTTAAAAATATATTAAGATCTATAAAAATAAAAAATTTATTCTTATCTGTTTATTAGAGTAAATCCCCAGAATTTATGCAGACCAAGATTTTTTTCACCTAGTAATAGTAATTGTGTATACCTAAAAATATTAAAACCTTTAAAAATATTTCATAGTTAAACCTTGCTATTAGTAAAATGGAAATTAACAGATAATTTATTGTACTACTAATAAAGCATTTTAGTTGTTAATAAATGATTGGCTGTAACAACAAATATATGAAAAAATGTTCAGCATCTTTGACCATTAGAGAGATGCAAAAGAAAACAATGCTAAGACTCCAACTCACTCCAGAAAGAACACGTCATCAGGAAACGAAAAATAACAAACACTGGAGGGGCTGTGGGGAAAAAGGAGTCCTTCTGCATTGTTGGTGGGAGTGTAAACTAGTACAGCCATTATGGAAATCAGTATGGAGATGTCTCAAAGAACTGAAATTAGAAATCTCATATGATACAACTATCTGTCTTCTAGGTATCTTCCCCAAAGAGCTTAAGACATCATACTACAGAAGTACATGCATACCAATGCTTACAATAGCACAATTCATAATAGCACAATCCTGGAAATCTCCTATATACCCATCAACAGATGACTGGATAAAGAAAATGTGGTATCTATCTATCTAGCTATCTATATAATGGAATACTATACAGCTATAAAGAATGATAGATTTCAGACATTTGTAGGAAAATAGATGCACCTGGAAAATATAATGCTGGGTGAACTAAACCAGGTACACAAGCTTAAATACCATAGGGTATCTCTCATTTTAGGGAGACAAAGTATAAACAAACAGGAGAATGAAGATAGATAGAATGAGAAAAGGAGATGGATTACTTGCAACAGGGACATGGTCCAAGGGAAAAAGCAGGAGGGCTGAGGAAGAGGGAAAAGAGAAATAAGGATGTGCCATGTACAGGAACCTAATAACATCAATTAGTGTAAACATTATATACCATAACATGAGCCAAGATATCAACAAGAATAATATCAAAAAGAATGAAAAATGGGATCAGGGAATTGAAGGGGGAGGGAAAGAGGATTAAAAAAGAAACTGTAGTCTGAACATGCAACCACTCCCCAAGATAATTATGAACTGTATGAAGTGCAAACACATACTAATAAAATTAAAATGTAAAATTTAAAAAAATAAATGACTGAACTTCATAAAACAATGTGTTACACCTCTAGCAAATTAGTATAAATCATGGTTTGAGCACACGTTCAAAATTCCTAATACAGAATAAAGAGATTGCCTGACTTCGCCTCCCCGTAGGTTATCCTGGGGCCCTGCCACCATCTTACCCACCTTGCGAGTTGGAGGGTCGCAGGAGTAAGGCCAGAGCCCCCAGGAGGCACAGAGAAGAGCAGCTGCTCCCTGGCATGAACCCCATAGCACCTGTGCACCGGGAACCACCACAAGTTCAGAGGTTGCAGGTTTCCTGGAGATACCTAGAGGGATGAGAGAGAACTCGCGGCATCAACAGTCAAACCAGAGTTCAGCTGGGCAGCAATCTGCAGCAGCCGAGCCTGGGGGAAATCAGGTCAAGGGTGAGCCCGAATTAGGAAGAAGATTAGGGGAAGAGGCCAGAATTGGGGTTTCCAGAATCACTTGAGCCAAAAGACCTTTGAAACATCAAGAATTCTAGCATGAAGGATCTGATGCCAGGAACAAGCAACCTTGTGGAGCTCTGAGAGTCTTTCCAGTGCAAACCTAGTCTGCTTACAGCAGAAGTGGGCAGAGAAATAGAAATAAGTCCTCTGTGAGTGATAAAACAAGGGCATGGTTCAAAGTCTCAGCCATTCTGAAAGCATTCTCGAGCAGTCTGGCCTGGGAATCTGGACATTACAGTGGGAGAGGAAGGGACTCCTGAGAAGCATTACCTACTCAAGAAAGTTGTGACCTTTAGAATGATGACCTTGACAAAGAAAAGAAAAAATAATGGGAAATGTTCAATTTCCTTCCAGAAGTCCTAAAGCCTAGCAGGAAAAGAAAAACATGAGTAAGTACAGACAGGCATGACAAATCAATCGGACAGTATGTGAATGGGATGTTCCTTTCTGTCCTTCCTGATTTACCAAGTCATGTAGTGAATCACGCTTTGGTGCCATTCTCATCCGTTAAGAGACAGAACAATAGTGTCTGAAGCACTAGAACATGTTCGCCAGCACACAGAGGAGCAGATGGGAGTGGGGAGCCAGGAGCTGACTGACTGAAGTTCAGTCATTTATTTAACCCCCAGCCTCGTGTTAATCTCTGCACGTGAAGCAGTGGAAGGCAAGTTGTTTATGTGCATAACTGTTGTCTTTCACAGGAAGTGATACTGAGAGATATGCTGATGTTTTCTAAAAGAAGACGAGTTGGGGGAAATGTCTACAAATGACCTCCCCACCCCGGTCAGCTGCAAACTTTAGTACAAAAGTTCAAAATGTGAAGTGCTTAGCTGTCACTTACCCGAAATAACTAGGTAGATTATGATGTAACACGGACTATGACATGGTTAAATTTCAGCCTTCTGAAGAGAAGGAAAGCAAACAGATTCACCATGGATTTGCTTACTTTTAGAAAAAGTACCCAAGATAATCACGGAAAATCAAGTAAGAAACGAACTTTAAAACATTCACTAAAAGATTATTTTGAATTATTCCTTTTACCCATCAAGCACCAACTTATGTTCTAAGAGATTCCATAAATGATCTCCTTAGTCATATAATTGTTGCCTATCAGTTGAGTGTTCTTTTGCTAGATTCAGGCAGATAACGGGAATCAGCAAAGTGCAGCTCTGCTAGTGGCCCTCATGCTACCAGATGACTGCAGGTGATGCTGGGTGTCCTCAGTTAACACAGCCAACTCTGCCAGGTGCTGATCTCTGCCACTGCCGGCTGCCTGCATTTGCCACCTGCTCGTGCTGCATGCTGTTGGCCGACTTTGCTGGGTCTGGTCTCTGGAGCAGTTCAGGGCTAACAGCCCCTAGTGTCTACCATTCTTTCTTTTAAAGCAGTTATCTGTCCATACTACTGTATGCGGTGTTCTGAGTCCATTCACACGCCCTCCAGAGTCCCCACAACCAGAGAAATAATCACAAGCAGATTGACAGGACCACCAAACTAAGGATTTATTTCAGCATGGCCTGTGTACGGCAGCAGAAGGAGGGCAGTACACCAAAGGGAACCAGCAAAGACTAACACAGGAAGTGCCAGGACAGTGCTGCTTATATAGCAGCTGCAGTCCTGTGATTGGTTCAAGTGTAGGCCTATGATTGGTTCTAATTTGGGCCTGCTAATTGGAACAAGCCTCAAGTGGGTGCAGGGTTCTAGGACAGCTACACCTGTCACTGCAGTGATTCACTGGGGAATGGAGTGGGGGTGATTGGAACTGTTTGATAGCTGTTTTGTGTCTCAGAAAAATGGCAGAGTTGAAACGGGAATATTCAGGATTCCTGGCGGTGCTCATCACAGCTGTTGGTGTTTGGGGAGATCGGGGTGTGAGTAATGGAGCCAATCACTCCCTCCCTGATTTAGGCACTGTGGTGGACTGACAACTGGTGAGCAACTTGTAACACGCAGCTGAACTGAACCACTGTGGTGCTGGGTATGGGAGGCCTACATGAGGATTGTTGCCAGCAGCATAAAAGGCAGAACTTGAGAAGAAGAGAAGCTGTTAGGGAAGCTGTAGGAAGATGTTGGTTTTCCTGGAGGAGCTTGTCCTGCTGGCTTTCCTGATGAACTTGGCTGTGAAGGGACTGGGACCTTGGTTTCACTGGGAATGGCTATGGTTCATTTTGGGGGAATCTCTGGTCCTTGCTTTGAGCATTGCTTCCTGGCTGTGGAGGGGAAAATGGTGCACTGTTCAGTCTCCTGAAGAAGCTTGTTGTGCCAGCTTTCCTGATAGGAGCTCGGCTGTTATCATCGAAGGAGCTCACAGCCTCACCATCACTGAGTATGGCTGTTGTACTTTTCAGGAGAAGTCTGGTTCTTACTTTGAGCATCACTTCCTGGCTCCAGGGCGGATCCCTCAGCCTGCTAGCACAGATCCTTCACCCTGCTGGCACAGACTTTCTAGCTTTCACCACTGACCTTTGGGCCTTCCCAGTGCAGAACCCTGAAACAGGCCTGCATGAGACACTGTTGTGGTCTCTTGGCCTCCAGTTGGACTCATGGGGGGCATTGTTATGGGCTCTAAGTCTTTAGCTGGCCCCATACAGGACATTACCATGGGATCCAGGCCTAACTGAATTCTTTGGTCTTTAGTGTATGGACAGATTTCCTGCACTTTTTGTACATAGCTCTTTGGGTGACTACCATAAAATAATCTTATAAACTATATGTCCTATATTATAAATTGTTTCCATTGCAAAACCCCAAACAACAGGCACTTTAGAGTGATTCCCTGCTACTTCTTCAGGGTCTGAAATAATGGAGCTGGGAGGAGGTGGCATGGCTGAAAACTTCACCTCGTGTCAGAGAGGCCAGGAGAGCAGCCAGGAAGCAACCTCAGGGATGGCGGGAGGACATGGAGGGAGGAGGCAAGTTGTCCCAGTGCATTCTGGGAGGACAGCAAGGGAAGAACATAACAGCTGTTGGCCAAACCACCTTCCTCTCCACTGTTATAGGAAAAGGATGGATGAGGCCAGTGCTTTTCCTCATAACCCCTGTATGGCTGGTCAAATCTCCTTTCAAAAAAAGGTCAGGTAACACTTGCCCACAACTTTACAGATAATAAGTGTCTGTGCCAGAATTGGGACCAAAGATGTGTGTCCCACTAAAATCTCATATGTTTAAATTTTGTAAATAACTGCCAAAGGAAAGAGGAGATTAGGTAGAGACTAAGGAGATAAGGAAACCGGGTTAATATCTACAAAGCAAAAGTGCTACCTACTTTCTTCAAGCTGTCACAAAGGACAGAGTGGAGCTGCCATATGAATGACACTGATATTGATACAAGCCCCGGATTCTGCATAAAATCCTTCATTTTCCATGTGCTTGTGATTATACTCCAGCTTCTCTGAATGTTAGTAGTTCTTTCTATTTTAGTGCTGATTAGAAGTCCATGAATTGACCAAAGTACATTTCATGAGGTCCAGTTTATCACTTGTTTCTTTTATGTATTGCCTTTTATATTGTCATGTCTAAAAAGTCTTTGTGTATGCCTATTCTACCTCAAGATTTCTTTCTTTTTTTTTTTTTTTTTGGTAAAACTTATGGTTTTATACTTTGCATGTAATTCTTGGATACTGTAGATTTTTCTCCTATTTAATAATTTTCTTTTTATGTTTCACATTTAACTATAGGACTTGTTTTGAGTTAATTGTATATAAAATGTGAGGTTTAGATGAATATAATGAATAAGGCTGCTACAAACTTTTATGTTCTTATGAGAATATGCTTCCAATTCTCCTGGGTTGTGTAGGTAGCAGTGAAGTGTTGGATCATTTGGTACTTTTGAGGACCTGTGAAACTTTTTACAATAAGTACAGTATTTTACATTCCCAACAGCCATATGTGTGTGTTCCAATTTTCCCACAACCTCCGTAAAATTTTCCTATTAAAAAAATATATGCTACCAATCCCAGTTAGTGGGAAGTGATATCATTGCGAGTTTGATTTGTATTTCCCTAATGAATAATGATTCTGGTTATTTTTTTCATATCCTCTTTGGCCATTTATACATCTTGTCTGAACAACTATAATGATGTCTTCAAATAAACAGAAATAATTATTTTAACAGTTAACAATATGTAATTTTTTATTGGTTAATATTTATTTTGTTGTTGTACACAAGAAGTATTCACCCACTTTAGGATCATAAAACTATTCTCCCATGTACCTTATTTGGGAAGCTTTATTGTTTTACCAGTTATATGTAGACCTATGATTCATTTTCAGTTTCTTTCGGGGAGGTAAAATGTTGGGATCGAGGTATACCATTTCCATATAGGTTCCTAATAATCCCAACAAATGTATATTGAAGATAAAAGATGTCACATCTGAGGTTAAAAATAACTATATCAACATCGGTATATATTTATATATTATATGTATTTATAATATATGAAATATGTATTTTAGTGCATGTTTCTGTATAATATATCAAGGCTATTCAAGTTATATAATATTTAAATATTATATGCACAGGTAATATATGAATATATATTACATTTTTGACATTATTAAGTTACATAATGAGTTTGAGTCTTCTATCACTACCACACTGCCTTAATTACTATAGCTTTACAAACATTCTTGGAATCTAATTGTATTAATCCACAGCTTTTTCTCTTGGAAGATTGTCTTGACTGTTCTCAACCCTTTTCATGATCCTGGGCTCTCCTACTGAGCTCATCAAAGAGACAGTTCACTTGGTTCTGGTTTGTGGTGGCACTTTTTGTACTAACTTTCAGGTTACAGAACTTCAAATATCTCTTTGTGAAATGCCTGAGCACTTACCTGTGGACAAATGTGTAAGTGAACACTAGGCAGAAGTTAGTTCTGCTTTTAATGGGCAGTAGCCAGAGATATTCAGTAGACTCAAAATGCTATTAATAATGCAATATGAAAATAACAGCATGTAAGTAGAGAGTCACAGGCACAAACTGAGCTGGATCATGAACGCAGAGCACTAATTTCTTTATCCTACACAGTAGATACAGTACTGTGATAGTTCAGTTGTCAAAAGGCTCCAAACTCAAACTTTCCACTACTCAAACAGCACAATTCAAAAGAAGTCTGCTCA